TTCGAGAAGGAGGTACCAATTTCCTCGGTCTTCGATAAGGACGAGATGGTTGATATCATCGGTGTGACTAAGGGTCACGGTAACACTAGTGTCACCACTCGATGGGGTGTCACTCGTCTTGCCCGTAAGACCCATCGTGGTCTCCGCAAGGTCGCCTGTATTGGTGCCTGGCATCCGGCCCGAGTCCAGTTCCAGGTCCCTAGAGCTGGTCAGATGGGTTATCATCATCGTGTTGAGATCAACAAGAAGATCTATCGCATCGGCAAGGCCCTTCGTGAGGATCCTAACAACGCTGCTGGCTCCAACGATCTCACCCAGAAGGCTATCACTCCCATGGGTGGCTTCCCCCACTACGGTGAGGTCAATGAGGACTGGGTTATGCTCAAGGGTACTGTTACTGGTCCTAAGAAGCGTGTCATCACTCTTCGTAAGAGCCTTCTACCCCAGACTAGCCGTAACGCTTTGGAGAAGATCGATCTCAAGTTCATCGATACCTCCTCTAAGTATGGTCATGGTAGATTCCAGACTGCTGATGAGAAGAGGAAGTACTATGGTCGCGAGGCTGAGACTACCCAGGCCTAAACAACCTGCCAGTGTTGACGTGTATTTGGCGGTCACCTTTCTAGGGGTGTGGGATTACGCAGACTGTTGTGTTCATTAATAGCAAATGTGAAACGGTGGAGTTTTTGAGTTATGTTCTTTCGGAGTTTTTGGCTGATGTATGATCATGTGGTTTCATTTGTGGGAAAAAAGTGTCATAAACTACCAGGAATAAATTTTATGGATAAATGATGTTTTTTTAGAGAAAAAATTTTTCGTTCGAGTCGAACTATCCGGATGGTTTCTGTTGTTTCCAAGGCAAATGGTGACGTATGAACGATCCCTCAAGTGTAATTATGTCATGTCGAAATTTGGAAGAGTCTTCCGTAATCGTAGTTCCCGAGTGGTGTTACTTCCTGTTGAGTCCGTCTTGTCCATTAAAAGTCTGGGTGTGTGGGCCCAGATGGGAGTTGTGTTGGGGAGTTTGGGGGGAGGCTTCATGCCTAGAAGTGTAGCATTGGGAAACTGCTTCTGACCTTTATCTTTCGTATTCGCTATTTCTAGTACATCTTGATATTCCTCGGATGGTACGGTAGTAGGATGATGGTCAACTGTGATGAGATTAAGACATCGGTTATTCGCTCGCGTCGGAACACTTTTGAAGTGGCGAATTGTAGATGTTCAAGTTGGCCATTTGTAACATCAAATAGTACAAGGTCACAATGCGCATCGCGGATTAGCATGTTCACATTGGTTGAGGTGTATGTCGGGATTAACTATACCTGGGGCTCTAGAAGTGTTCCCAGTGTGGTAGATCGCA